CGGCTGTCTGGGGTCTTTAGGCCAGTGAGTCCCCATCTTAGCTGCGCCCTGGAACCGCCTGGGGAGCTTTAGGAAATGGGGCTCTCGGAGAGTCGGACTGAATCGGCCAGGGGCACAGCCTGGGCAGCAGGGTCTTGAAAAGCTGCCCAGGTCATAGTGACGTGTGCCCGGGGTTCAGAGCGTGGCTCCAGAGCTTTGCTGCTGCCTGGGGAGGAGATGGTTCCTGTTTTTAAACCAAGTTCAGCGGCCGCACTTACTACCAGCCCGGCTGTGAGCCCTGGGTCCTAGAATGTGGGCTTTTTGCATGATTGGGGGTGGGGGTGGGGGTGACAAACCGCAAATCTGGGGTTTCTTTCTCTTGCTGGATGAAAAAGGCAGCTGTTTCTGGTATTTCTTGGGAGAAGTAGAACCACCTACCAAGAAAATACGCTGGGCCGGGGGGTAACTTGTTCCTTGGCCCAAACAGCCTTCCTTCTTCACCCGCCCCCAAAAGCTCCCCTTCCTAGCCGCACCCCTGAAAAGGCACCTTTGGTTAGGGGTCCATCTCAGCTCTTCCTTGTCTGGTTCTTGATCCGTTCATTGCACAGGGGCCTCTGCGCATCTCCCTGCCTCGTGCTGTCGCCGGTGAGCCCTCAGAGGGCAGGACTCCCTTCTCAGAAACTCATTTTGTTGAAACTCAGGGCTTGATGCTTCCTAAAGGGTGGGCGGTGGGCATGGCCCGTCTTTGTCCCTCGCCTCTTCCTGGAGATTCAGAACCGCCACCTCAGGGACCATCTTCCCCAGCACCAGGCCAGCATCCAGAGCAGCCCTGCTGGGCTGGCCCCGGCTGACGGAGCGCAAGGGGGTGTGTGGCTGACCGAGGGGCTGGGTGAGCTGCGGCCAGATGTTGTAGCCTTTCATCCGGCTGAGTCTTTTTCCACCTTTCATAATATTGTCAGCTCTGGAGCGCTTCTGGAAAGGGTTTCAAAGCGATGGGCCAGACTCTGACCCCAGTCTGACCCCTAACGGTGCTTTTTTCCTGCCCAACGAGATCACATCCGAGCTCCTCGGGGGATTTCTTTTCCTGTCTCCAAGGAAAGGCATTTGTGTGTTTCCCTGTCGCTGAGAGACTGAGGCCCCCATCCGGGAGAGCCGAGGCTGGCGCTGCTATAAATAGCTGTCAGAGCGACCTGCTCTGTGCGCCTGGCCTGGCTGAGCGGGGCTGTGGGCAGGCCTCGCTGCTGTGCTGGGCTGGGCTGGGCACCACCACCTGGGAGCAGGCATAGCAGCCTCCCAGAGCGCCCGCGCCTCTCCCCCGCCCCTTGGTGGGAGGTGGGACGGTGGAGAGACAGCCAGCGAGAACGTGGGAACAGGCCTCGCTTTTTCTGTCCTTTCAGAACATGGCAGCTTCCTGGGGCGCCGTGCCTCAGCTGGAGGGGCAGGGAGGTTTGAGTCACGCCAGGTGCAGTTTCGGGGGCTGGGGCCGTGCTCTCCGCGGGCTCCTGGCAGCTTGTGTGGAAACCCCCTCCCCTGCCCCCTGGTGCTCGGAGGGGCAGCCCAAATGCACACACCGTCCCTCCAGTCTAAGCTATAGGAGTCTCGGGCTGAGGGGTGCATCCAGGGTCACACAGCAAGTTCGTGGGGGACCCAAGGTGAGAGCCTCCATCTCTTGCCTCCGGGCCCAGAGATTTTCTGTCTTCGTCCTGAACGAGGCAGGGCTCGCCACTCTGGGGGGCTGGTGACTGTGAGGCCAGTGGCTCCTTTATTCCTGTTGGGATCTGACCCCGGAAGTGGGGACAGCTTCTACTCCTGTCATCCCCCGAATGCCTGCAGGTGGCAGGGTAGGGGCTGACCCCTGAGCAGGGATGCAGGCACTGTGCGTTCAGCAGCCTCCGGGCTCAGGACACCAGGCCTGCACAGCATCGGGTGTGCACTGAGGACACTACAGCCTGCTGCTTGCAGAACGCCAAGCCCTGGTTTAGTGCCTCATCTCACAGACGGAGAAACGGAGGCCGCAGAGTAAGGAGCACCTCGTCAGGCCACATATCTGGTTGGGCAGAGCCGAGACTGACACCCTCTTGGACTCCTTGTCAAGTGCTCTTCCTGATCCTCTTCACTCCGTGAGTGGCTGGGACAAACGTAGGCCTTGTCCTTCCAGCACCTTGTACAAAATAGACCCAAATGACCTCAGGCTGGGGAAGGGGTTAAAGAGTCCTTCCCATCCCTGCATTCCATCCCATCATTCCATCCCTTCATTCCAAAGGCCCTTCCATCCTTCATTCCATAGGTTCTTCCCGTCTCTCCATTCCATGTGATCCTTCCCATCCCTCCCTTCCATAGGCATACTGCTAGAGGAACACTGGCCCTACATTTAACATTAGCAGGAGGAACCTGTCATCAGTTCCAGAGTCTTACAACTTTAAAAATATATTTTATTGATTTTTTACAGAGAGGAAGGGAGAGGGATAGAGCCAGAAACATCGATGAGAGAGAAACATCGATCAGTGGCCTCACGCACACCCACTACTGGGAATGTGCCCGCAACCAAGGTACATGCCCTTGACCAGACTTAAACCCGGGACCCTTGAGTCTGCAGGCCGACGCTCTATCCACTGAGCCAAATCCTAGTGTATTCTCTTTGGATACGGAAAATAGAAGGCTGGCTTTACCTCTGGTTAAATATCACATTTAAGCACACGCAGAACACACTCCCCTCTCCCCCACCAGATTTTCTCTGCTGTATGCTGACACCATTGAAAAATTCAAGGAAGATGCAGAGGAAGGGGCCTCGGGTCAGAGGACGAAGCCACTCTGGTTCCGTGCCTGCACTTGTCCCATCTTCTCTGGCCTGGCCTGGCCAGTCGGCCCCTCCCTGGACAGGGCCTCTATCCACTGAGCCAAACCAGTTAGGGCCAGAGTCTTACAACTTTAATCATTTAGAAGTTCTCAGTGCCTATCTTAAAATACCGCCTGCTGGAGAGCCTTCCTGGTGTGTTTTCTTTGGATACGGAAAATAGAAGGCTGGCTTTACCTCTGGTTAAATATCACATTTAAGCACACGCAGAACACACTCCCCTCTCCCCCACCAGATTTTCTCTGCTGTATGCTGACACCATTGAAAAATTCAAGGAAGATGCAGAGGAAGGGGCCTCGGGTCAGAGGACGAAGCCACTCTGGTTCCGTGCCTGCACTTGTCCCATCTTCTCTGGCCTGGCCTGGCCAGTCGGCCCCTCCCTGGACAGGGCCTCGGTGGCGCTCCAGGGATGTCAGCCAGCTTGATGGCGCTGAGACCGGCCAGGGAAATCCCCACCTCTATGCCAGCAGCAGGTGTGCCAGGACTCAGGCATAACACCTGCCCCTGACCCTCTTGGCATGAGAGAAAAGAAAAGAATACTAAAAATGACGTAGTTCCAAATTGGAGCAGTAAAGATGAAGTAAAAATCTTCAGGACCATTGGACCATTTAGCTGTGTTTTTATGTGCTGTCTCAGAAGCCTG